AAGCCCAGTTGTCCGATTTCCCGATTCCCAGAAATGTTATCCTGCGGGGTATTCTCGGGCATCAGCCGCGAAGTCTCTAGCGCTGCACAGGGAAGATACCGAGATGCAGCTGAATATTCTCTCTGCATATGAACTCCGACAGTCCCATCTGTGGACGTCAACACTGCGTGACCCCACTTGTCAGACACACACCGGCGCACACTAACAGACTCACTTGGTTGACTGTCACCGTTCACCGGTGTACCTCTACAGGTGTGGACAGATTGAGCTCAGAGGGCATTCACGGGGGTGGTGTGCCCCTTTTTTACTATGTACACATGACCAGTGTTCCCTCTAAGCTGAGTTAGCGTGAGCTAGCTCACAGTTTTTTAGCCTCCGGCTCACACTTTTTTGTCTTAGCTCAGGAAGGGTGGCTCCGGAGCAAACTAATCTATGCTGCTGCCAAATCGTTCGCTCACAACTTTAATGCCAGGAGCTTACAAAGTAGAATTTTTCCTCACAGGACTCCATAGCTTAGAGGAAGCATTGCACATGACTGTAGCATGGCAACGAGTCGAACGCTGCTGGCATCTATCATCTTGCAACTGCCCTTTGGCTAACTGCTCTAGGCCCTCCTTCTTCGTTCCCCATCCTGTCAAACAGACCACTAAACCGGCTGTGGGGTGCTTCATTCCCCAGCTTGAAGATGCAGTGAATAGACTGGCCAGCCAGCTGAGAAAGAGCCAGTGATCTTCCAGGGGACCCTGGCTATGAATTCTGTCTTTTGGTTTGGGTCCTTTGGGCCCATTCACAAGATGCTTCTGTGGGTTGATTGATACATGTGGGACAATGAGGTGGGAAAATGCTGGTTGAATGGACTGCACCAGGGCTATTTTTGGGCAGGAACGCACAGGAACGGAGTTCCGGCTGGCTCCTGAGTTGGCCACGCCCAGCAGGAACTCATTAGCATAATAGGCCACACCCAACAGCAGGAACTCATTAGGATTGGCTACATTAGGGGTGTGTGGCCTAACATGCAAAGGAGTCCCTGCTACAAAAAAAGCCCTGGATTTTGACCACAAACAAGGTAAACAGAATAAGAAGGGAAAGGTGGGTGTGGCTGGATGAGCACACTTCTGGTCTAATGTGGTCTAATGTGCTAATAAGTGGTGTGGTCAGGGTGTGGCCTAATATGCTAATGTGTTTTGCTGTTGGGTGTGGCCTATTATGCTAATGAGTTCCTGCTGGGCTTTTTCTACAAAAAGAGCCCTGGACTGCACCTCTTCTGATGGCAGGTGGAGGTTCACACTTTGTAATGCTCTCCTGTGTCTGGAGGGTAAAACAACTCCCCTTCAAACAGAAAACTGGCAAAACAAGAAAAGAGGGAGAGGGGGGAACCTGTCTGCCTTATGTTTTTATAAACTGTTGCTTCACACAATGGGTTGTTGGCTTGTGGAACTCACTGCCACAAAATGCAATGATAAGCCACTGTTTTGAGTGGATTTAAAAGGGGGTTGGACAAATTTATGCCAGATCGGTCTGTATCAAATGAATCCTGAACTCCCCCTAGAAGCTAAAAGGACTAAACTGAGGCTATTGTACTTTGATGACATTATGAGAAGATAAGAATCGCTGGAAAAAACAATCATGCCAGGAGAAGCTGAAGGCAGCAGGAAAAGAGGAAGACCCAACAGGAGATGCCCTGACCTGGATAGCCCAAGTTCTCAGAAACTAAGCAGGGGCAGCCCTGGCTGGTATCTGGATGGGAGGCCTCCAAGGGATACCAGGGTCATGACATGGAGGCAGGCAATGGCAAACCACCTCTGCCCGCCTCTTGCCTCGAAAACCCTACAGGGTCACCATAAATCAGCCGTGACTTGAGGGCACTTTCCACCACCACGGACAATGAGATGGATTGACTCAATCAGGGAAGACATGGCCCTGAGTTCGCAAGACCCGAGCAAGGCTGTTAACGATAGCCAGGGGTCATTTCATAGAAAAAGAGCTAGGGGAACTCATTAGCATAACTCATTAGCATATGCCACACCCCCTGACATCACCGGAAGTGTGCCACAAGGCCACACCCCCTGACATCACCGGACAGTGGACCTGCAAGGCCAGCGGGAGTGCAAGGAAGCCCCGCGAAGGCCCTTCCTGGCTCCAGGCAGGCAGGGGTGGGGAGAGGCAGGGAGGAAGCAACTTACCCTCCCTCTTCTCCTGCCTCCTCCTGGCTGAATGAGGTCCGGAAGCGGGGCGGCCGGAAGCAGGGGGCGGGGCTTCGTCATGTGTCCCGCCCCCTGTACCTCACCCGGGGAACTGCGATCCCCCGCATTCCCCCCCTGAAATGACCTCTGACGATAGGACATTCATAGGATCACCCTAAGATCAAAGCGACTTGACTGCACTTAACACATACAGGCCACTTGTTGGCTATTAAACCAAGATAGTGGAGTGAGACCTCCCCGTACAGAGGCAGGAATTCTCTGCCAAATGCTAAGGAGCAGTTGGCAGGCGAGGATGCTTGACAGTAGTTCATGGACTTCTTGTGGCATCATACTGGCCACTGTTGGGAATCTGACGGTGGCTGAAAGGGGTCATTGGTCTGCTGAGCTATTGTTTTGCATCCTTGTTCCCTGTTGTGCCAGTTCTCTAGCAGCGTGGAGTTTTGGGGGTGGAGGACTATCCCAAGCTGGAATCCGTCAGCTACAGTCTGAAGCAGTACAGTCCTTTCCTACCACCTCGTCGTCTGACGTGTGCAAACCGAGCCTGGGTTTTGTCCACCTTTGCATTGTAAACATCTCGTTGCTCTCTAAGGTGCTACTGGACTCGAATCTAGCTCTCCCACTGCAGGCCGACACGGCTAATCTCTGAAACTATTGTCAGCATCGACATTTGCCGAATGCCAAGCCTTCACTCCTGCACACTGTCTCAGGGACATACAAGCCTGCCTGTCGCCTCTCTCCCAAGAAGCAACGGAGAGGTAATCGCCGATTCGTCCAAATTTCTAATCGCTTGGGACAAATAGCTTTTAAAGCAGCTTTTGAATGGACTCGCCTCTTTAGAGCTCATAAATAATATAATGCCAGGTATCGGGTCTGCGGGCTGCGTGGTTTGAATGCAAAACGGCTGCGAGCGTCGCGACGGCCCGTAGAACACTAGGTTTGCCGAGTAATTCGCACTGCGTAGAAAAAGAGACTTCGCTTAAGACGAGAATATTTTTGTTGCTGTTGTTGTTGTTGTTGTTGCTCCTCCCGGACATGAACTGCATACTGATGGGCCACCCGGCACAAAAAGGAATTGGCTGGAGAGGGAGAACGGCCATCCTTAAAGTATTTGCAGTGGCTGATGGGGGGCGGGGACTGGGTTCCTGCCAAGGATGACAACACCATCCAAAGCAAATTGGGGTGGGGGGGGGACTCTCAGGATCCAACTTAGATGGGATTGCCATCAATATGCAAAAGTGCCAGCAGGGAGGATGGAGGCATTTGCAGGTGAGAAGTGGCATGGAAGGGGGGTATTTAGCCCCTTTCCGACACACATTTTACCTCCAGCTGTTGGTGGGGGAGAGATAAGAAACACGGGGTTGGGGAAATGAGCCCATCATCTAGTTGGTAGTCATATCACAAGCCATTTCAGGCATGTTCCAGGTCGCGGCAGCATAGAATTTTTTGCCGTCTCTTAGGACCAGTGTTCCCTCTCAGCTGAGTTAGAGTGAGCTGGCTCACATTCTTTTAGCCTCCAGCTCACAGATTTTCGTCTTAGCTCAGGAAGGATGGCTCCAGAGCGAACCAATTTATGCAGTAGCCACAACTTTAATGCCAGTAGCTCACAAAGTGGAATTTTTGCTCACAAGACTCCACAGTTTAGAGAGCGCATTGCTTAGGACTTGCATAAAATGGATAGAGGAGTATAACAGCCCTGCTGGATCTGACGAACGACCCATCTAGTCCAGCATCCTGTTTCCCACGATGGCCAACCGGATGGCCTAAAACACAGGCGTGGTCGCCGACACTTTCCTCTCTTGTTGCCCCAGCCGTTAACTGGCGTTCAGAGCTGCGCTGCCTCTGAACGCAGAGGGTCCATTTAGCTGTTGTGGCTGATAGCCGTTGATGGATCTGTCCTCCTGTGCTTTTGTCTAATCCTGTTTCGAGACCTTCTGAACTCAGAGGCCGTTGGCTATATCCAGCATCAGCAAAAGAAATTACATGGCTAAGTGAAGTGTGCCAACTTAGTTTAAACACCTTCTGTGGACACAGCATAAGATTACTCTAGATGTTAAGGGCCAGGTCAACGGTCATCCGATCCAGCCTCTTATTTCCCATTCCCCCACTGGTGTTTGAAGGTATATGGAGGTTTGCTTTAGTTGTCACAGCAGATTTCCATCGCTAGATCTGTCCCCGGTAACTGTATCTCATCCCTCTTAAAGCTGTGTAAACCAGCGGCCGTCCATCACATCTTGTGGCAGTGAGTTACACAAGCTAATGATGTGTTGCGCGAAGAAGTGCTTCCTCTTGTCCTTTCTGCAACCTACAACCCATCAGTTTTATTGGGTGCTCACAAGTTTGAGTATTTTAGGGGGGGGGGAATTCTCTATCTCCACACCAGGAAGAACTTTATACCTCTTTGTCATGGCCACCTGCCCCACCCATCTCTTCTTAAATGGACAATTTCGCTTTTCTTCCTAGGGAAGGTATTCCTTCCTGCCCCTTTTGCCAGCTCCGCGAAAACTCTGTTTCCCCTTGATTACAGTCCAGCATCTCAGGACTCCGTGATTCCAGCTCGGCAACTTTCCTCTTTCATCTGGAACACTGGGATTTCATAACATCCAAAAGTTTTGCCTGCCAGTCAAGAAATGTCAGTTTGAGCTTCCTCAAAAGGGAAGCGATGGTGATCAAAAAGGTGCAACGCTTGCCAGAAGGCGACCAGGATAGGAGCCTGTGGATTTGGGGGGTTTCCTTTCTTCTCCCGCCAGCCGAAGAGTTCTGAGCCGCACGTTTTTTGTTTTTCCTTTACCTTTGCAGCCATGAAAGCCGACCGAAAGCGTTTGAAGGCGGAGAAGACTGACCTGGTGAGCCAGATGCAGCAGCTCTACGCTACGCTGGAAAGCCGGGAGGAGCAGCTACGTGACTTCATCCGGAACTACGAGCAACACAGAAAAGTAAGGGAAGAGAGGTGGCCGGGAGGCAGGTGGGACCGGCTAGTGATGTTCATGAGCCCTCGGACACACGAGTATCCACAGGCCCCTCCATCACACCTCCCTTCTCTCCTCCCCAATTTCAGTCACAGTTTTTTTTGTTTCCTTCCCCCCCCCCCCCCCCCCAAATTACAGCTACTTTCTCCCCGACTGCAGCTCTGTCTTAAGGAGGGGGAGAGAATGTTGGGTTGAGTTGGGCTGGGCATGGGGAAATTTTGTGGGGCAGCGGGGGAGGGAGAAGGAGGGAGGGAGAAGGGCGGCCGCATGCCTTCCCTGAAATCGCTGCTTGGAGATCAGGTGTGGGCAGCCCCAGCTAGAAAAACAGCATTTAAGGGGAATTGCTCTCTGGCTATCCTTCCTCCCAGGGTTGTTCTGAGGATGCAGTGAAGGCAGGGAGAACCATGCATGCCACTCTGAGCTGCTCAGAAGAAGAGCGGGGTCAAGAGAGACATATTTTCCTGCACTGTGTAACAGCCCCCGCTAGAAAAACAGCACTTAAGGGGAACCCTTTAAATGCTGTTTTTCTAGCAGGAAACACCATCAAAGATTGCCAAACCAATATATTAAACAATTATAAAGTTGGTGGAGAACCTATGATTCGCTTCTTACACTATGAACCTTGTGGTTAGTTGAAATTGCTGAAATCAGGTTCCACTTACACAGCCGGCAAACTGAAGAAGTCGAAGGAAACGCATCTTCCAAGTATCTAGAATGGGCGTCTTTGCAAAGGCTGTTTGGAAAATGTTATGACTATGTGGACTTCTATCAAGTTACACTGACTACATGGACTTTATGTCTTATCCTTAAAGGAGGAAATATTGTATCTTATACCTTATTATAGTTACAGTATACATTAATGTTGTTGTTGTGACACCACTAACTTTATAATTGTTTAATATATTGTTTTGGCAATCTGTGATGGTGTTTTCTGCTACTGGAATTTGTATATGTGGGACTCCTGTGACACTAGTCTTTTCCCCTTGTTGTTTGGTTTTTCTAGCAGGGGCTGCTCACCCTGATCTCCAAGCGGTGAAATCGCTGCTTGGAGATCAAGGAAGGCATGTGGCCAGCAGCCGCCCCTCTCCCTCACCTCCTGCAAGATTTAAAGGGCTCACCGATCAGCTGGAGGGCCCTTTAATATCATGGAGGTGGGGAGAGAGAGGGGCACTTCAAGATTTAAAGGGCCCTCCAGCTGATTGGCGGGTCACATGCTCCTGCCGATCAGCTGGAGAGCCCTTTTAATGTAACAGGAGGGAGAGGGGCAGCCGCTGTTGTGGGGCGTGCCTTACATTTGGGGGGACAGATCCCCCAAATGTTCCACCATAGATACGGCCTGCATTAGAGACTGACAACATTTCTCTAAGGTGCTACTGGACTCAAATCTAGCTCTTCAGCTGCAGACCAATACGGTTACCCCTTCTGAAACGACCATCCACAGATGTAAAAGGAACAACAAGAGTTTAGCGACAGTCTCTTGACCAACTGGGGAAAACACCTGGAAAGAGGGAAGAGAATGCAATTTGAGAGGCAGTGCCATGTAGTGATTGGAGTGTTGGACCGGGACAGGGCGAACCCAGGTTCGAATTCCCCCAGAATTGGGCCTTCAGCCAATTGCTCCCTGGCTATCCTACCTCACAGGGTTGTTCTGAGGATGCAGTGAAGGCAGGGAGAACCATGCATGCCGCTCTGAGCTGCTCAGAAGAAGAGCGGGGTCAAGAGAGACATATTTTCCTGCACTGTGTAACTTCTGGGCGTTTCTCACATGTGGAAATGGGGGAATGATCCAGCATCCAGTTGGGGACAGAATGACCCAGCATCCAGTTGGGGACAGGACTGTGCCCTGGCTGTTGCCCTCCCGTGCTGACCCTTGATGCCAGTGTGGATCACAGTCCTAGCATAACAGGTGGAGGACCCATGAAAGTCACAGATGGGTGCTGCGGTCACACACACTGTAGTCCTCTTTCAATGCACTTTCAATGCTCTTTCCCACTGGATTTTGCCAGTTCACACAGTGAAAATCCAGTTGGAAAGTGCACTGAAAGTGGATTGAAAGTGGATTATTTAGTGTGTGTGACTGCAGCCAGGGAATCCCGTCTTCCTCCCATCACTGAGTCCAGTATGACTCCAAGCCCCATCACTTACCTTGGAGCCAAACTGCAGCAGCAGTGGTGTGTGTGAGCCGCTCCAATCCCAGAGCGGCTCCCAGCATCGACCACCACTGCAGCCAGGCCCAAAGCAGTTCCCAAATGGCTCCTGCTCTCTGCAGCGGCTGCCATTTGGGCTCCCAGGCTCCGCTTGCAGCCACCACAGGGCTCCTGGGTTCTGCTGCAGCTGCTGCCAGGCCCACCACAACTCCTGGGCTTCGCTGCCACCACCCCCAGCCCACTGCAGTGGCCACCACAGAATCACAGTAAGTGCATTGTCTGTGCATGTGCCAAAGATTTTTTATAGTGGGGGGAATTAGCCCCCTCGTGTATTTTTTTTAACATTTCAGATTTTTCTGCGAACCTGGGGTGTCCCCCATGTTTGCAGAAAAATCTGTTTCACGTCAGCATAGTCCCAATCTGCGGATATATTTGCTGATAGATATAGCTAGATAGGGATTTTTGAAAAATACTTTATTCTAAGAACACGATGTGCTCATGGCAGAATCATTTCTCTTGTTTAGGGTCAGAAAAGGCTCTGTGCTCAGCCCCCCACACCCCAATAATGATGGGTATTTTTCACTGGACCCACGCCTCGCCAGAGAGTGCAGTCTTGTCCCGCTGTCATAACAACTCGCCTCCCTGAGCGTCTTATCCACATGGGTAAAAACCCCGGAGGCGGATTATTATGATAGCATCACGTGGACCTGGCCTTTGATATCGATTAAAAAGGAAATCGTATAGCTCCTTAGATTTAGAACAAACGCCCGCAGGCAGACATTTTCATCTGCTCCATCTCTAGATGCTTTTGAGGAGGGAAAAAACGAAACGTAACAATAAAAGTCATTGATGTCGATATTGTGGGAAGTGTTAGGGGAGGGGGGAGGCTCCTGCCCACCTGCCGTGCGCCTTGTGTTGCTGATCTTCTGCCCAACTGGGCCTCTGGTGACTCTGCAGGAGAGCGAAGACGCGGTCAAAGCACTGGCGAAAGAAAAGGACCTGCTGGAACGGGAGAAGTGGGAGTTGCGCCGGCAAGCCAAAGAGGCCACGGACCACGCCAGTGCCCTCCGGTCACAGCTGGACTTGAAAGACAACCGAATGAAGGAACTGGAGGCCGAGCTAGCCATGGTGAGACACCCGCGCACACACATGCACACTGCTTTAAGGGACTTGTCTGTCTTCCTGGGAGGCACCCATTTTAGCCCAAATTGAGCTGAAACAGGGCACAGATCAGTAGAGATGGTCCCATCGGACTCAAAACAGCAGCCGGCTCAGACGTACCCCATGCAAAGGCTGCTGCCTAGCAGAAGAGCCGCGGCTGACCCTCTCCATCCCTTTCCCTTTTGTTCCCCCCAAGGCCAAGCAGTCCTTGGCGACGCTGACGAAGAGCGACCCGAAGCGGCATCCCTTAGCCATGCCCGGCGAGACGGTGCTAAACGGAAATCAGGAATGGGTGATGCAGGCCGACCTTCCACTCACGGCCGCCATCCGACAGAGCCAGCAGACGCTCTACCACTCGCACCCCCAGCATACGGTAGATCGGCAAGGTGAGCTGCGGGGGGGGGTCTCCGGCTTCCCGTATCTGCGCATTGGCTTGGTTTTCGCCGGGTATCTGGCACCTCCCCAGGGATGTTGTTGTGTGCCCGTACGGCTGGGTTGATAAAACAGAAGGATCAGGCCCTTATCAAAACTATTGGGCAAACACACACACACGTGTGCACCCCTTAGAAAGTGAAACATTCCAAGTGCAGCATTAAGTCAAATTAAGATATTCTTATCTGTCAGGATGTAAGGACCTGTGGGTTCCCTATTAAGAGCACCGCAGGGCCTCCTGCTGGTTTGAGGAGGAAATGGCAGCCTGGGACAGGAGCACCACGCAACACAGGAACATCTGGGTCCTGAGAACCAGGAGATCCCAGGGAGCCAACCCTAAGCCACTACTCTAGCAAAAAGCTTCAAGTTAAAGAACTGGATGGGTCTTTTTGGGTAGGGTTGCCAACTCTAAGTTGGGAAATTCCTGGATATTTGGGGGAGGGGGGTTGAGCCTGGGGAGGGGGGAACCTCAGCAGGGTATAACATTATAGAGTCCCCCCTCCCAAACACTCATTTTCTCTAGGGGAATTGATCTCTGTAGGATGGAGATCAGTTGTAATTCTAGGATATCTCTAGATCCCACCTGGAGGTTGGCAACCATATTAACAGGGCATCCGTGCAATCCACTGCATTTTCTCCGTCCCCAGCAGAAGCTACCGGGTTGTTCCCGTGCATCTCCAGACTGGCAGCGTGCTAAAAGTACTTTTGCAGGCTCGGTTCTGGGCACCTTGCCATCGTGTATCTTGTGCTTGTCGGCTGTTGGGGTTATCCTTCGAGCCGCGAGGAACACCCTGGAGCAGAAAGTGCGATCCCCACTTGTGCTGAAGACACCTCTCCCGCTGACCCCTCTGCCCCTCTCTGCCCCCTTGCCTTCCAGCCGTCCGAGTGAGCCCGTGCCATTCCCGGCAGCCTTCCATCATCTCCGACGCGTCGGCGGCAGAAGGCGACCGGTCCTCCACGCCGAGCGACATCAACTCCCCGCGGCACCGAACGCATTCGCTCTGCAATGTAAGGCGCCTCTGCAGGTCATTTGCTGTTCCTAACACTGTTCTGGTCGCGTGCTTCTCTGCCTTGGCTTGGCCGAACCGTCCCCTCCGACCGCCGGCTGCTTCTGCCGCTGCTTCTGCCGCTGCTTGTTCTCGCTGCTTTCCTAATAAGCAAAACGGCCTCTTCCAACTCTCTCCTCCCTTTTGCCCCCCCAGTGTCAGATAGAATTGGAGGTTTGCCACGGGCAGGGCTGGATCGAGGGGGTTTCTAGCACGCAGCGGTGACCGGAAGCAGTCCTGCATCGCAAAAGTCATTCTAAATTTACCAGTGGGAAGTGCCCTCAAGTCAAAGCTGACTTATGGTGACCCCCCCTGGTGGGGTTTTCAAGGCAAGAGGCGTTTGGAGGTGGCTTGCCCTTGCCTGCCTCTGCGTAGCAGCCCTGGGCTTCCTTGGCGGTTAGACAGGGCTCTTTTTGTAGCAAGAACTCCTTTGCATATTAAGTGACACACCCCCTAATGTAGCCAATCCTCCAAGAGCTTACAGTAGCCCCTGTAAGAACAGCTCTGTAAGCTCTCGGAGGATTGGCTACATTAGGGGTGTGTGGCCTAATATGCAAAGGAGTTCCCGCTACAAAAAGAGCCCCGGTGGTCTCCCATCCAAATGCTGACTAGGGCCGACCCTGCTTAGCTTCTGAGATCTGATGAGATCGGGCTAGCCTGGGCCATCCAGGTCAGCGCTTTAGATTTATTATCATTTAGATGTATTATTACTCATTGATTCAATTTTTACCGTGCCCTTTCTCCAAGGAACTCAAGGCAGCGTATGTGGCCCCCTTCTCTCCCTCACACCAACCCATTTTATCCTCACAACAACCTTGTGAGGTAGGTAAGGTTGAAAGAAGAGTGACTGGCCCTAGGACACCCAGCGAGGTGCAAGGCAGAGTGAGGATTCGAACCTAGCTTCTGGCCAGTTACAGTCTGGCACTCTTGACCACCACTGTGCCACACTGGCTGTTTTTAACTTGAGTTGCCAGGGATTGGATTGAAGACCTTACGCATGTAAACTGTGCTTTCCCCCTGTTTCCCGGTCCCTCCCCTTCAACTTCCCTGGAATCCGTCATCGCAAATAAATTAATACTGTGTTCAACATAATTGTCCATGTCTTCTAAGAAAAATTAGACCCGAATCAGCCAGCCAGGACTTAAAAAAAAAAGTAGGGGAGGAGTAAGAGCATCATTTTTATAAATCTTAGGGCCAAACTGACAGGAGCCGCGGTGGCTCAGAGGTTAAGACGCTGAGTTGCAGACCGGAAGGTCTGTTGTTCGGCAGTTCGAGACCTAAGTGTCGCGTGATGGAGTGAGCCCCCGTCTCTGGCCCCAGGTCCTGCCAACCTAGTTCAAAAGCAAGAGATTGCAAGTAGATAAATAGGTACTGCTTCGGTGGGAAGGTAACAGCGTTCTGTGAGCCGCAATGTTTAGTCATGCCGGCCACATGACCACAGAAATGTCTTCGGTTAGAAAACGGAGATGAGCACCACCCCGTAGAGTCAGATTCGACTAGCTTTCGAGCAAGGGAAACTTATACCTTTATTAGGGCCAAATGGCATGTGGATCGAGGGTTATCTGCCTCTCCATATATTGCTTTTATGTCTACTTCCATTCTAAGTATACTTCCTTTGTACATGCAGGTTGTTTAGCTAATAGCCCTTTATACACCGGTGCCTTCTAACAGGGTCGCCTGGTCATCCCTGGCTCTGCAGCTGGTATGAAGGTTCTCTGCCTTTAAACAGGCAGTTCTCAGGACTCACCGACATTAACTAACCAACTAACCGACATTGATAGATCTCTCTGACACGAAGTTATCTGAATGTGATATGCTCATGTCCCCGTTCTGGCTTGCAGAGGCCAGCAAGAGAGAATCAGCAAGCCCCGATCCTTAGGGAAAGCCCCTGTGGTAAAAGATACGTCCACACTGGGGTGGGGGGAACAAGCCCCCCCCCCGCTGGCTTTTTGTTTCATTTCCGGACCTTTTGACAGGAAAAGGCGATTATTTGAGGAAGAAGCCAGAAAGGGGGGGGTGTCACTCGTTTCTTTGTTTGCCTTGTTTGGTTTCCTTTGCAAAAAGCATGCCCGCTCTGCAAACGTGAATCCCCGCTTGTGCTCGTTTCCAAATCTGACCCCTCTCTTTCTCCTGGCAGGGAGATAGTCCTGGACCGGTACAGAAAAACTTGCACAACCCAATTGTCCAGGTAGGAATCGGCTCTTCCTCCAGGTCCCGGTGCAAGCAACAAGAAGGGGAGGCTTCTCTAGGGCGATCTGCAGGGCTTAAGACGAGACCAAATGGATTGATGCTTTTGGCTTGCAAAGCCTGAGAGAGTGTGCGGGAAGATAACTCCAAGTTGGGGACGGACCATCGTTGCAGCTGGCGGGACTCAGCAGGGCTGCCAGCTCTGGCTTAGGAAATTCCTGGAGATTTGGGGGCGGAGCCTGGGAAGGCAGAATTTGGGGAGGGTCAGGAGCTCATTGGGGTTATGATCCCTTACAGTCCACCCTCCAAAGTTGCCATTCCCTCCAGGGGAACTGTTGCTTGAGGGTCAGCTGCAATTCTGGGAGATCTTCAGCTACCACCTGGACCTTGGCAACGGTACAGGGCTGGTTCTAGGTTTTTGCGGGCCCTCGGCAAGAGGCTGCCCAGCAGGCCCCGGCCGGGCGCAGCCATGATGCAGAGCGAGAGGGCAGACAAGCAACCACTCTCTCTTGCACCTAGTCACTGACGCTTCCCACTCACCTGGGCAAGCCAAAAAGTCGCCACCACCACTGGGAGGAGCTCTGCTGCCTGGCCTGTCTCTACTTAGCGGCTGCTGCTGCTGACAGCCATCGCTGCGTGCAGCAGATGCCTCTGCCCCTGCCCTCTGGCTATCTGGCCCAGGAGGAGGAGAGGCGAGTGGCGTGCATGCCGAATGAAGGGTGGGCAAAATCAGACCTTCAGGAGGGAGCGATGCTGTCATTGGTACCACCCAGGGGGAAGGGGCAGGTCAGGGTCGCTACTGCAGTGCCATGGTGGAGGGCCCAGCCCTAGGGGCATGTTAGCTGCCAAACCAGGTCCGTAGCTGGGATTCTTTTCATCGGGGGCATTTAAATTTCTTAGGGGGCACTTAAAGTTAATTAATATTTTAACATGCTTTCTGGCATGGTTTGGGGGGGCATGGCTTTTAGTTAAGGGGGCATAGCCTCAAAAATGCCCCCCTGTAGCTACGGGCCCATGGCCAGCAATCCCATTCCTGGTGCCGGCCTTCCTGCTGGGACTGGATCCCACCAACTTTCCCCCTCCACCTTCCCAATGACCCACCTTGGGGACAACTCCTGTCCCACGTGGCTTCTAACCACACTGAACACACAGTCCCTTGCTTGCCATCCTGGTGGTGAAGAGGAGCGGTTCCCCCTTCATTCCCTGGTTTCTGGGCCCACTAGTGGTTAGGTAAGCCCCCCTTTACCAAAGCAGCATGCCGGGCGCTCTATGGAGGTGCAGGGGGGGAGGAATAGGTTGAGGTATCCGCCAGGTGTGTTATGGCAGGTCTACAACAGACACACTGTCTGAAAGTAATGGGTATATGTGAGAGGCCCCCCCCCCCATTTTTCAGATTTGAGGTCCACGTCAACAGAACACAGCTTTTCTTTCATTGCCGTTCCTATTATTATGCTTCAGGGTAGCGCCGGCTCTGAAGTGGGAGGATTTGCTGAGTATATTCAGCAATAAACCAAAAAAGGTTGAGGAGCAGATAAGATCGATTGCAGAAGCCTACAGAGAACAGTTGTCCTTTTAAGTACACAAAATATGTATAAGTAAGAAGGCATTCAAATGAACAGTCACAATAGACTGAAGTTTTAGATGAGCCGGCGTTTAGTCTTTTGCCAGCATATCTTACCCAGTGCTAATAGATGATATCGGAAGGACTTTGCAAGTATGTTATTCAGTGGAAACAGTATGTTTTGATTTCCATAAAAAGCCTGTAGAGAATTACTGACAAGGCAAGCCTACAAATATACCTAGCAATATAAAGCTGGGAATGTGTTGATCGCGTACCGTAAGGTTGCCTGTCTATGTATTTATTGAGGAAACTTTATATCCCACCATTCTAGTCTAGAAATACCCGAAGTGGGGGGGGGGACCATATTAAAAACCTCAGTCCAATAACAGAGTAATATCTGCACCGAGCAGCGTTAGCATAATCATATCTTGATATTGTCGGGAAGGTTCAGAATTTCAATCTTCCCTGTTCTTCTCCCCTGCTCACCCCCTCCCCAACGTTACCTCAGAATACGAGCCCCATTTCTTTCTCACTTGCTTCTTACAAGGCTGAAAACCTTTTCCTCCTCAGTCTCTAGAGGACCTCGAAGACCAAAAACGGAAAAAGAAGAAAGAGAAAATGGGATTTGGATCCATCTCTCGGGTGTTTGCCAGAGGGAAGCAACGGAAATCCCTCGACCCCGGCCTTTTTGATGGTACTGCCCCCGATTACTACATAGAGGAGGATGCGGACTGGTGACCGCCTGCCCTGCCCTCTCCCGCTTCTGGTGCGTGTGCGTGTGTGGGAGTGTCTGTGTGCGCAAGCAAACGCCGCTAGCCGAACCCAGCGGATTGCGAGCCGTCGCCTCTTCTGCGTTGCCTCTTCTGTAACCGCTGTACATAAACCCCCGACGATCCTGTGTGTGAATCCCATTAACTGTCGTCTATGGAGCGATGCCAGTCGTGTTGGTGTAGCCTTCCCTGGTTCTGTTCTGGAGGGGAGAGAGGTTTCCCCGGTTTTTTTTTCTCTTCTCTCCCCCAACCCCCTTTTTCGTGTGTATTTTCCTCCTTTTTACGAAACTTGAAAACTTGAAGGACTGCTGTGTATTTGTAAATAACTGATGACGACAAAAAAAAACAACACCCCAAAATTTTGTGCACTGTGTGCTTGTAAAAACGTCTCTTGTCCCAAAACGCTGTCCCTCCGGCCCCCGCTCCTGAGGCACCGCCTGAAACTTGTCCGTTGGCAAAGATGGCCGCCGGGAGAGGGAAACGCCACATCCTGTTCACAGGGCACACCCACTTTACCAGGACAGGCAGCATTTTAGGAGGATGAGCTTGGACCAGGGTTGGGCAACCAGACGTCCGTGGATAAAGCATTCATTTTCAGCCTATTTGCATATGAATCAAGGCGTGGGAAACAAAAATTACTATAATTTCATTGGGGGGAGAAAAAAGGGAAGTGTGTTGATGTTGTAAAAGAAAATCCACACTTTTAATGTTCCCTTTAGTTTTTCTACACAAAGGCCCGGCCATACCGGTTTGCATGTGCTCTTTAACGGTGCAGCCAGAGGATGCTGGCTGTGCTGTAGAACCTGGCTGATGTAGTGTAGAGGCAAAGAGAACAGGCTGTGATACAGGAGGCTGCCGGTTCAGATCTCACCTCCGCCACACACACAAGACGTGCCCTTAGGGCAAGCCCCTTAGTCCCCAGTATGGTGGGGATCTTACTAGTGGCCTACCTGATAGTGCCGTTGTGACGATTACTGTGATAATGTATGTGAGTTGCTTTGAACACTGAAATCACTAAACAAATGCTATCCATCGGGGGCACGGTTGCATGGCTAAATGCATTCACGGCCTCAATGCCTCTCTCTGCAGTTTGTGGTGTGGGGGAGGGGGACTCCTCGAGACGGTAGAAGTTGGCCATCCCTGGTTTGCGTATCTTGAGAGAAATCTCACTGTGAGGTGACAGGTCCCTCTAGCCGGTCTGTGGCTGTTGCCTAGAAATGCGCCCCAAATGCGCCCCTTCCTACCCCACCCCCGAACTTGAAAACTACCCTCTGCGGGGAGGCCCTTTTCTAAAATTAAGTAACTTCCAGTGCAGTCCTAAAGAGAGTTACTCCAGTCTAAGCCCATTCGCTTCAATGGTCTACGAGTGGGGTAACTTTTCTTAGGACTATACTGTAAGGATGGCTGTCAGGGACTGGTTTACACCACGGTGAGATTTGTCTGTGAAAGATATCCTCTAAACACCCTCCTCGGGCATTTCAGTCATGATGCTTTTCCCTCATGGATACAGCACTGTTGCCCCAACAGGTTTTCTGACCCGGGTGGCAAAACTAGAATTCACGCTGTGGTTCATAGCCGGCAGGGCTCTACTGGTAGCAGGAGCTCCTTTGCATATTAGGCCACACACCCCTAGTGTAGCCAATCCTCCAAGAGCTTACAGAGCTCTTCTTACTGGGGCTACTGTAAGCTCTTGGAGGATTGGCTACACTAGGGGTGTGTGGCCTAATATGCAAAGGAGCTCCTGCTACCAGTAGAGCCCACCGTTTTCCTATACCGAATCTTCTTTTTTTCTGTGCAAGAAAACCTTCACATGTGAAGCATCCCTGCTCTCCATTCCAAAACACCCAACCGGGCTGACCCTCTTCCAGGCCAGATTCAAAATAACCGGAAACCATGCAGGTGTGCGTGTTCTCTCCCCCGCCCGCTTTCTTTCCCATTCGTTCCGTGTGGTTTTGTTGGTTTTTTTATGCTTTCTCATCCGGAATAATCGTTTAACCCTCTTTTCTCCTCTACTTCTTTTTTTTTTAATTTATTTGCACAAATACAGAAGATGTATTCTGACTAAATTATTACATTGAATATTGGAATTTATATTTTTCCACGTCGGGTGGGGGTGGTTTGGATGGGGGGTGGTGTTTCTACTTCTCTGCTGTCTGGGAGTTGAATATGCGGAGCTGTGAACTATGATGGATTAGATGCCAAGAGAACAAATAATTATTTTGCCCGGATTCCCTTCTCCTCACCTCTGTCCCGCCTGCTTCCCCCTTCCAGACTCTTCAAGGTGCTTTTGGATCCCAAATGGCGACTCTATAGCTAAAAGCTGTTTTCGCCCAGACTGGCCCAGGTAAAATCACCTTCTGGTCAGCCCCTGCTGCTTAGAAGACGGCAGTGGTGTTCCCATTGTAAACAGTTCCCTACCTTCTGGCAGGCATCAATCCGGTCTTGGAACTTTTTCCTCTGTCCCGTTTCGTCACCTGGACCAAACGTCAAGTGCTGCCATTCCATGTGCAAGAGCAGGGTCATCCCTGTGACATTACAAAAAGCCTTTCCAAGTCAGAAATGTCTTGAAAGTTTTATCTTTCAGCCACGGAATGTTCAACACAGTCCTTCAGGTCTGAAATGAACAAAGACGAGAGAGAAGGCTCTTCCGCACTTTCATTTTAATAACTTGTGTGCCCCCGTTGCTTCAGGGTTTTTTCCTTTTTCACGTGTGTTTTCCTACCTCCAGGGGTCACTTCAGTATTACATCGCTGTGTCTCCGGCATAAAAATACACTGGAGATACAGTGATGTATCCACTGGAGATATATCCACTGAGGGAGCAAAACATGTGCAGAAAAGGGAAAAAAAAACCTGAAACTACAGGGCACACAAGCGATGAACATGAAAGTACAGAAGAGCCTAGAGTCTTGAGGAGAACACAAACCTATTTCCTTACAGTCCTGGCTACAAAGGTAAGCAATGACCCTGAAACTTTCTGGTATTTCACATCCACAAAACTCAGCCAACTTTTCTCGGTTCCATATGCCAGCTTGGCCAGTTTGTGCCAGCACTGGGTGTCCTTTTTTTGGTTCCCTTACTACCCAGATTCTAGCTTGGCCCTCGACAATTGTTATTATATTGTTATTGTATTATTATTCTTGCATTTGTACGCCAGTTTTCTCCCCAGAGTGGCTTCCAGAAATTCCAACCATGCAAAATAACAAATTTAAGTGATACAGTTCAGATCAACACAACAGAGGAAACAAACTCATCCTGGGCAGGTTCCAATTCACCGGACTGGCTAACATTGGCCCCAGGCTGTGAACCATCGGCCAGAAATTTTTGGGCTATTGCCTTTGAGCTCATACCTCTGGCCTTGCCCGGACTAAGTACCTGCAAGCAGAGGAGAAAACAAGCTCAGTCCTGAAGTACTCAGCAGCTGCTAGCCAGCTAGGTTCTTCCCAACTTTCTTCCCTGCTAGCTTCTGTTAGTATGCAGAAGTTTGCATTTAAGCCCAGTAATTATTTGCCCTGCTGGATCAGACCAGAGGTCCATCTAGTTCAGCACCCCATCTCACCCCATCCTCTGGAAGGCCAACAACAGGGCATAGAGGCCAAGGCCTTCCCCTGATAAGAATGTAAGAAGAGCCCTGCTGGATCAGACCAGAGGTCCATCTAGTTCAGCACCCCATCTCACATAGTGGCCAGCCACTTCCTCTGGAGGGCCAACAACAGGGCACAGAGGCCGAGGCCTTCCCCTGATATGAACATAAGAAGAGCCCTGCTGGATCAGACCAGTGGTCCATCTAGTCCAGCACCCCATCTCACATAGTGGCCAGCCACTTCCTCTGGAGGGCCAACAACAGGGCACAGAGGCCGAGGCCTTCCCCTGATAAGAACATCAGAAGAGCCCTGCTGGATCAGACCAGTGGTCCATCTAGTCCAGCCACCTGGCTCACACAGAGGCCAACCAGTTCCTCTGGAGGGCCAACAACAGGGCATAGAGGCTGAGATTGACTGCCTCTGAACATGGAGGTTCATTTTAGTCACCATGGCTAGTAGCCATTGATGGATCTATCCTCCACATAACTGTCTAATCCCCTTTTAAAGCCATCTATGCCTGCGAGCATCACCACATCCCCTACCCAACTCTTGCTCCTGCTGCACAGCACAAGAAGACCACAATGCCAGAACATATCAAGAGTTGGCACAGGTATGAACACATACAAAGCTGCCTTATACTAAATCGGATCATTGGCCCATTGAAGTCAATATCGTCTACTCAGACTGGCAGCAACTTTCCAGGGTCTCAGGCAGAGGTCTTTCGCATCACTTCCAACCTGATCCTTTTAATGGGCGATGCCGAGGATTGAACCTGGGACCTTCTGCATTCAAAGCAGATGCTCTACCACTGAGCCACAGCCCCCTCCGTCAACAAACTCTCACAGTGACTCCCAGGAGGCGGTTTACAGCTTGAAATAGGATGCGAAAAGCTGATTTGATGTGTTAATTTGGGGGCGGCAGCCTGCCAGATTGGAAACCATGCTTTAAGAAACGCTCACGCTGAGCTGATAGAAGCTACAAATCACCTGCGGGAAAATGGGAGGCATTCTTAAGGAGAATTAATATTTCAGCTGGGTTCATGCAAGGTTTCCCTGGACCATTGAAACCACGGCTGTGTGTGTAATGGGATTCTAGGCCGGCGACTCACGCACGCATGTAATTTGGTTCGCCCCCAAAGCCTTAGCTTTCTGTTTGTAAAAGGCAGTGTTTCTAAGTATATGAAGTATTTAAGTATTTGAAGGGCTGTCACTTAGAGGAGGGCAGGGAGCTGTTCCTGTTGGCAGCAGAGGAGAGGACTCGCAAGGATGGTTTAAATTAAGGGCAGAAAGGTCCCAGCTGGATATGAGGGAAAACTTTTTTACACTAAGAGACGTGCAACAGTGGCCTCAGCTGCCTCGGGAGGTGGTGAGCTCCCCCTCACTGGCAGTCTTTATGCAGCGGCTGGACAAACCCTTGTCAGGGATGTTCTAGGCTGAGCCTGCATTGAGCAGGGGGTGGACTAGATGGCCTCTGTGGACCCTTCCCACTCTGTGATTCTAAGTCCTTTTGGCTCTGAAAATGAACATGAGAAAGCTCAGAAATTAAAACTCAGACCTGTGGAGATTCTAGCAGCTGGGCTTTAGTGCCCTACATTGTTCTCTGACTTCCCTACCCTCTGCAGAAGCAAAATACAATTATTAACGCATTCAGCTTGCGTGGCAACAGATAAACTTATGTAGTAAACAAAACAGTCCTCCCTGAGAGCCAGTTTGGCGTAGTGGTTAAGTGCGCGGATTCTAATCTGGGAGAACCGGGTTTGATTC